CATCATAAACAGCAATCAGCTGCAAAATTTAGAATATTCTATTTTATTCAAATTACATCATAAACAGCAATGAACTTAAAAAATATACAATAAATGATAATTTCTGGGCAACAATGCAAAGAAAATGATTACTGGGTAAAAAACATTAACAGTTCCTTCATCTAAACTGTCAAACTTTTCTGATTAAGCCAGTTTATTAGAGGCCATTAATGAATTCTGTCATAATTTCAGCTTTTTATAGCTTTACAGACTAAATTACTAACCTCATAGAGGCTACAGCCTATTGCAGTGAAAAAAAAGACAATTTTCTCCTTGGTGTTCCTAATATATTAGTTATTTCATAATTTATTTTTTTTAAAACTTTTCAATTTATTCTGTGATATTTTTATGAAGTGAAAAGGCGAAAAATATTAAAGTAATAAAAGATCAAAGAGGAATGGTGCGGAATTAATGACGTCACCAATAAAATTGACATATTTTTCTCTTCATTTCACTTTGTTAACAAGAAAACAAATAAAAACAAAATAAAATTAACAAAAATATAAAAATACTATTCAACAGCAAATATAAAATAATATTTAACAGCGAATTGTCGAATAAAATATCTTTCTTATAAAGTAAATTCGTCGGAAATTAAAGTGTCTATTTTATTTAAATGTATTTTTTTTACCTGAACTCGGGACTCCGGCAGGTTGATTTTCAGCGCCACCTCCTCCCGCATGAAGATGTCCGGGTAGCGGGTTTTAGCGAACAGCGCCTCCAGGACGTCCAGCTGGGAGCGGGTGAACGTGGTCCGCTCCCTCCGTTGCTTCCTGGGCGTCGCTGCGGGGAAGAAACAAACATGGCGGCCAACGGTCACAGGTGTGATCAACTTCCACTCCATTAATTAGCGCGTCCCTCCGCCAGGAGTTATTTTTCTCCTCTTATTGAGGGCAGCTACCTGGATACCCCACCGAGGGGTGCAGCAGGTCCATGGCCGCGCCGCTCAGCCCCAGGCCGTTCACCCCATAGGGGGGCTGTTTGAGGTAGGACATCATGCTACAGGCGGTCACTGCTCCACCCAGCTCAGGCCAGTGGTTCAGCTTCCCCCGATGCTGCAGCTTGGCGGAGCGGAGGAGCGGAGCGAGTCACTGCGGACAGAGAGGAGGAGCATGATGGCGGACACAGGATTAATGACAGAAAATTACATTGATCATTTTATAATATTTATACAACATTACGATTTAACTGATATTCCACTTGCAAAATAAAAAAAATACATATATAGGCTATATATATTCTCTTTTTTGTTATTTTCTGTTTAGGAAAAAAAAAATGCACAATTGCAAATTTATATATATATATATATATATATATATATATATATATATATATATATATATATAAAATTGCATTTTATCATAAGGCGGACTAAAGGCAGTCAGTAGGGAGTTTATGGATTTATAGAATAAAATAATCTGCTAACTAGCCTTTGAATGGCTTCTAAATCCGCACTGTTGCCGTTTAATTAATCATATTTAGTTACTTTAACACATTTGTTCTATGTCCTACCCTGCTAACATGAACCGATTGTATTAACTAAATATGATTTAGTAAATGCCTAAAACGGTTGCATTATTTTTTTCATTGTACAAAAAAAAAAGAAAAAAAAAAAGATTTACAAAAATATTCTTCTGTTTCAAATAATGAAAGGAAAGAAAAATTAACAGGATATCTGCATTTCTAGGATGTAAAGTTATTTTAATCTGCTCAGCCATAGCTGCATTTATCTCCATTTATAAAGCCGTCAATCCTTTATAATTACAGTAGAAATAATGCTATTTAAAGACATTTAATTTTAGAGCTGTTTTGCGTCTTTTTAATTAAGATAATTACCTCCAGGTAAAATAAAAAATAGCAGATGGTTCTGAGTCCATTAAGGTCGTTTTGTGTAATAAAAAAATAAAAACATAAGTTCAGTCCAACTCCAGCTTTTGTTTGGGTCATGGTGTGTTTGAACCTGCTTTATAGAACACAGTAAATGAAATCTAATTATACTTTAGAAGATTAATTTGAGATTTTTCTGTTGAAGGAAAAAAAAACTGGTGATTTTTTTAAAATCTAATTTCTGGTCTTTGCATTTTGTTTTTAATGTTGCAGCTTTAAAAAAAATTGCAACACACACTCCTCTGTCCTTAAACATAGAATTAATAAACTAAAACAAACCAGTTTAAATAAGTTTACGCATTTTAGTTTATGCATTCATGAAGATAGTTATTTGTTTTCATTTTTTAAATAGATTATTAACGAATCAACTATAAAATAATTTTACAGAAATATATTTAGGCCTTCATGTTTAGAAATTATTTGATTTTCACTCAGATGAATCCAAATAATAAAGTCTTGTTTTGTCCTGATCACCTCCCAGATGTTAACCAAATATCACGCAGGCCTGCAGAATGAAGTGAATGAAATGATTAGTGCCAGTGAGGCCCACAGTGAGCCAGCAAAGCAGCAGAGAACAGGAGAACATCTCGCTGCAAATGAACTCCATTAGAATTTAGATTAGACCTCCGGGGAGAGACGGAGCGCTTCACAAGGGCTCTTATCAGTGAAATAAATTAAGCAAAAATCAAAACACGCCTCTCCAATTATCTGCAGAGTGCTTCACGCGATTTAATGGACAATTGGGCTCAGTAAAAAAAAATAAAACCTCAAAAAGCAACGATTTGAAATATGAAAATTATCTGCGTTCTTGGAGGAAAGTTGATTTGATTGGAGCTGAAAGTCCTTCTCCGTGCGGGATTAATTGATATATCTGCGGGAAATTCTCACGCAGATGATCAGAGATGACAATTGAATTAGTTTCTGTCACTTTAACCGAGAAGAAACCAGAATAAAACGATTTCTGTGGTAAATTTAAGTATTAAAAGTGGCGGAAAAGAAAACTTTACCTCGTTTAACGCCTTTCTCTTCTCCCCCGGAGTCCTCGGACCCAAAGTGAAATTATCCAGCAGGAGGAAGTCTGCAGACTTGCTCAAAACCACAGAGTGAGCAAAGCCAGCGGCATCACGGATGGAAAAGGCGCAGACAGCTCAGCGCGTCCTCGCCGCGGTTCCGGGCGTTTTTTACGGCCGCGCGGTTCAAACTCATTTGCTTTTTCAGGGGGGCTCCTGGTCGTCTGTCAGGCTGTTAAAGGTGATTTCTAATGGAGACGGATGGAGATTGATCACCTTCTCTCCGCCCCGCGCCTCTATGAGCGGAGGATCACCTGCGGGATCCGCCTCCCGCAGCCAATCACAGAGCGCCGCTGGCTGTGACGGACAGCGCGGGTATCCAATAGGAGGAGGAGAACACCGCCCCTTTTTTCTGCCCCCTTCTCTCTCTGCACCTCCTCCTCTGACTGATCCCGGAGAAGATGGAGACCTTCAGAGGCCTGCAGAGAACAGGCCTGCGCTCTGCTGAGCCACAGGATGGATGGATGGATGGATGGATGGATGGATGGATGGATGGATGGATGCCATAGCTAAACACTTTAAAGGTTCTTTTATTTTATTTAAAATATTAACAGCTTCCAGTATTACGCTTCAGCTCATCTGCAAATGAGGATTTCTCTCTTAGAGATCACTTTGATCTCAGTTTTTCATCTTTTTTTTAAAAAGAAAGGAAAAAAGAAGGATAAAACCAAGAAGTTAAATTCATCTATTTTGATTTTTTTATTGATACCGCCCTCCCTCTTTTTTTTCTCCCCCCTCTTTTCTTTTTTTTCCCCCTCTCCACTCACACAGACAAATCTCATGAATATTAATGAGGTTTAATCCCCATTTAGAATTACATTTGAGGATGGTTGACGTAAAGTTTAATAGGGAAAGACCTCCAACTCGCTGCGGAGGGAAAAAAAAATTGAATGTTCATGTTTTTAAAGGCAGAAAAAAAAGGTTTAGTCCGATTTTTCTGACCTTCGAAGGTTAAAAATGTTTAATTCTGCGAATCTCTTAAATGCAATAAATTAAATAGAGCCAAATAAAAAGCAGGAACATAAATAACTTTAAATAAAAAGTGCGTTAAGGCCTGCGGTGATGCTTTATTTTCTTTCCCGCAGAGGATCAAATCAGATCAAAATCAGACATGAAAGAAGAAAGGGGAAAATGAAAGGTGATTTAAAAGAGGTCAAACCCTTTCCTGCACCTTTTTCTGCATTTTATGTCTGAAGTCCAAGCAGTCAGAGGGCCGCCAAACCCCCAAATACCAGGACCCCTCCTGTTCACAGCCACACAGGCTCCCTTAAATTATGCAAAAAGGCCATTCAACAAATATGGCCTTCTCTGCACAAAAGACACAGCTTATTCTGACATTTCTTGTTTTTTTTTTTCCTCTCCTTCCTTTTCTCGATGTGAGACCTCCAGATAAACCCCCCTGAACAAGTATCAAGTTATCAAGTTGCACCAAGCTTTTTGTAATAAGAGCATTTTGTCTAATCCCAAATTGCAGTTGAATTTTCTTAATGCTGAGCTGGTAAAGCCTGGGATTAGAGGAGAGGAGAGGAGGGGAGGAGGGGGGAGAAAAGTTTGCTCCCTTCAGCCGGGAGGATTGGAAGAAGCGCGGATCTGCAGGGATGTTGTCGGTATTAAAACGGTGAGGCATAAACCTGAGAGCGGTTTGTTGCAGGGAGAGCCGGAGCGGAGCTACGGAGGCCGAGCAGCACCTGCGAGGAAGGAAAGGAGGGAAGGAAGGAAGGGAAGGAAGCCAGGCTCCTAAAGACCTGGCGCTTTTTACACAGCGCGGAAAAGGAGAATGGATCCAGATGTTTTTCACTCTTTCTGTAGCACCTGGATTATTCATAAGATCCCTATAATCAATGAGTTAATCTGCAGAGGTAAGGCTGGATTATTCTACGCATTTTTTTCATTTTAAAATGGTAAAAATATTTTAGTAAAGATTTATTAAATCAGATTTTTGGTGCAGCTGCGTTTCAAAATTATCCAGGAGGGAAAGTTCAGTTCGGTGCATCTAATCTACAATTTATTGAGGAGAAAAATAATTTAAAGTTTATTAGTTTACCTCAGAGAGACGATAAATGAGGAGAAATTATTTTAAGATTAAGAGACACACGCAGGTAGACAGGAGAGCCTCCAGAGACGCGCCGCGCGTAAAGTGCGCGCAAAAAAGTGGGACTGAAGCAGAGAAATAAATTAGCGAATGAATGTGAAAGTCTCCGAGGAGAGACGGCTGCTGTCACAACCGATTCCAGCGCTTAAATGTCGGATGGAGGAGGATTAACCGCGCGCGCTCATCCCGGGGACACTTTCACAGCTCGGATTATTCCAGTTAAAAATGTAGATTTATTGAAAGTTTACTGGGTTTTTTTCCCCCGGCTCTGATCACACAACTCGGACAGAGGGAGAAAAAACGCTAAAAAAAATAAAATATACATTTATATTTTTTATTTCCTTTAGTTGAGAAAAAAATCCAAAACACAAATTTTAAATAAAAGCACTTAAGTGGTTTTATGTGGCCACTTATACCCATTAAAATGTGATTTTATTAACCATCTAAAATAAACAAACAGCACCGACATAAAAATAAAATTACATAAATGCAAGAAAAGACAGACACCTTGTTCTGAAGTATGAAATCATAAAGACTTTATTACTGGAGACTTGGGTTATGACTGGAATAAATAATCAGATAAATGTTCACAGGTTAAAGACATGTGGAGCTCTAAGAGAGGCAGGTGGAAGCACATTTCTCTCCTCTGATGAAGACAATAAATAGGAACCAAAAGTTGCAGAGCAAAACCGCACATGAGATGTGAAGACAAGCAGCTTATCATAGAACAAACCACAATAAATAATAAACAAATCTGTTGTTTTCAGGCTGAAGGTGATGAAAAGGATTTGGAAAGCAGAAAATGGATGGAAATATACAATATTTTTTTCCTTTACTATTTTCTTTTTGGTTTCAAGCAGAGACAATAAAAAAAGCACAATAGGAAAGATTTATGAACAGTAATGCAGCTCAGATATTTTACAGGTAATGCAACTAAAAGTCAAGTAGTAAAGAAGCTCCAAAAACAGATGTTCTTTTTAAAACCACGCTGTCTGCTCTGCACAAAAAGATATTTATATTACAGAACTGTACCTTTTCTTTAATGACCTCGAGTTAAAATAATAAAAAAAGATCTCAGCGGACTGAGTCGGTATAAAGTTGGTGCAAAGTTTCAGTCTCTGCTGTTTACTGGATCAAAAACCTCGGAAGGAAATGTCTAAAAGCTGCGATCAAATGAGAGTAAAAAGTGAGAATATTCATGGAGATACATTTCTTTTATTGGCTACATGTGTTGGTTTGTTGACGATCACTGAAGGACACATTTCTCCTCTTTCTTGGCCATCTTGCCTTTGTTCTGCTCCAGCGTCCGCTCCAGGTGCTCGTCCTCCGCCTCGGCCCTGCCGACCACAAACATCAAAACATCACAAGTCTGGAAGGGGCTTTATGGGACATGGAGAGAGAGGGAAGGTGGGGGGACACAGGTAACGCTGTTGTTGCCACGGCAGCCTCGTGCCAGGGGCCACGCTCTGACCTTTCACCCCTGCTGGCACCGTGGATCTGGAGGAGATCCCTGATCCTCCTCCTGCAGGCCGGCTCTGGAACGTCTGTGAAAAAAAGCCACTCTCTGTGGGACATTTCTGTCTGTGACTCACTCTTTTTCCTGGGCGTCCAGATCCCTGACCAGCGCGTCCCGTTTGTTGACCAGTATGACCAGTTCATCCAGCAGCAGCTGCTCTCGTCTCTTCTGGGCTTCAGTTTTCTGCCAGTCTGCAAACAAGAACAAAAAAAAAGAGGAACCTTGAGACTCTGACACCAGGATATTTGGAAAACTCTAAAAACTCTATAAATCAGCATCTTTAGTGTGACTTTAGGGCCATTTTCTAGCAGAACGGGTGTGTGTGCCGACAATTACATGCATGGATCACCTGTTCCCACAGGACCATGCTGCCACTGAAAACCTTTGATGTTATCACGCCACTTTATGATTAAACATCCGTTAAAATAAATGTTCTATGGAGAAACGCGTTTCCTCATCTGTTGTGTTAAATAAACAAACAAGCAGGGGAGCCTCTGTCTTTGCTCTCCAGGGTCTTTCCAGGAAGGGGCCCCACAGGGCCCAGGTGGGACCCTGATCCAAATCCCCTCAGCCTGCCTCTGAAGGAGGGGGGGCTGCCCACAGGAGAGCACCCACTCCCCCTGGGGCTCAAATATCCGCCTGGGGCTCCGGGCTCCACATTTAGCCCCCATGGGCGCAGCGCTCCTCCCTCCCCGTATCCCTCCGCCCCTAAAACATTGAAGTCATTCCAACCTTTCTGAGCGACAGACAGAAGGCTGCCTTCTCCTTTACAAAGAGCTCAGACTCTAATGGGAAGATCTGTTCGGCTGTTTCGCAGCTTAAGGAAGGCAGGGAAATCCCTCCTCTGTTTCACAGAGAGACGTCTGCAGACCAACCTCCCTCTGTTGACCTGATTTCTGCCCAAAATAAGAGTTTTATTAAAGATAAAGTTGGCTGGAGTTGCTTATCTCTTTGAAGTCAGCGTTACTGTCTTCCTGTCTTTTCACTTTTTGAGAAGAGAATTTGCTCTCAGGGCAGAAGTCGCCAAACTTTAGTTTAAAATATGTCCAGACTTGCTGCTTAACACTTTGAGTTACCCCCCCCCAAACGTAGTAGTTTAGACCAGAGAGAAACTGGGGCGATCAGTGAAACAGAGAAGCAGATGAGTCATCAGCTTTTAGATAATTGTGAGGCAGGAATTTGTGCAGCCGGATCCATCAGAACTGTCCCACAGCGTCCCTCTGTGACCCCGCCCACAGGAAGGAGAAATTCATTCCTACAACTTCCTGCAAAACCGCAGAAAGGTTTCCAAACCCTTCCTCCTCCTCCTTTGGAACAGCAGCGAGCCAAAAAGCCAAATCCTAGCTGATTCCTGAAAGGTGGTGGTGGAGGGGGGGTTGCTGCTGTCAATCACATGCCGCAGGGCCCCGCCCCCCTCATTAGGAAGGTAAACAATAAAAACAGTCGATGAGAGACGTGACCAGGCAACACCAGAGCGGGGCAGGCTGGGTAACCAGAGACGGAGGAACAAACAAAACACCCTGCAGCCGCTCAGCCCCCACTTAGGCTCCGCCCCCTCCATCAGAGAGAGAGTTGGAGGTAGAGGGAGGTTAAAGACTTAGGAGGTGT